GGCGACGGGGTGGGCACCGGCCATGTCGGAGGTGACCCGGAGTCTGCTGCAGCGCTGGGGCGCCAGTTTTAGGAGAGGCGCCGACTTCGACTCTTGGGGCCAGCTGGTGGAGGCGATAGACGAGTATCAGATGTGAGTGACTAACTGCCGGAGTCTGCCGGGCCCGTCGGCCACCTCCCCCTGCTTTCTGTCTGTCTCATCATATCTGCCAAGGCTGCTTGGGTGGGGTCCCGCACGCACCGGGGCTGAGGTCCCCCCGGCCCTGGCGAGGCTACCCTGGAGACAGCGGGTCTGCTCTCTGGGGTGTCTCGCCCTCTTTTCCCCCGCCAGCTCCATTCAACAGGTAGCTCGCTCTACTTGCTTGGGGCGCCTTCCCTAACCGTTTCTTTCTTTCATCTCTTGGGTTCCCCCTCGGCAGCCAGGTTTCCTTTCCTGCTATCCTTCCTACGCCTCTCCCAGGTTGCCACCCCTGGATGTCTATTACATCTCCGAGGAATACTTGTGTGTGCTCTCCGCCCACGTTCCAGGGATGAGCGGCTTCGCTGTGTGTGTGTGTGTGTGTGTGTGTGTGTGTGTGTGTCCCTGTCCATGTGGGGGAGACGGTGCCGCCAGGAAGCAGCGAGGGCCAGGGATGTCTCTCCTCCGAAAGGGTCCCCTCGCCCCTTCCTTCTCCACCCCTCTTTCTGACTAGCAGTATTTTCACGATTCCGCCTCGATTTTCGTTTCGGTTTCTGGGGCTGTTATTTGCTAGGCTGTGAGTCCCACCCACCCCCTCGCTCGGTTGCTTTGGGTGGAGTCCGCGCAGGATGTGAACAGAAGAGAGCAAAATATGAATTAATAGACCGCTCACAGGAGCCACCACTCCCTTTTTTGGGTCCCTCCTCCTTTTCCTGTGTATAATGTATAGCCACAGGGTACAAGTGACTACGTTTCCTTTATCAACCTGTGTCCGATTTCTTTCCATTGTGGTTTCCCAAAAAACTATAGGGGTACTTTAAAATTAAAGGACAAGATTACAGACGATATATAAAACCTAGCTTCGTTGTATGCACATTCTGTTGAACTTTAGAACTGCGCACTAAAACACTCTTGTTTGCAAACTGTCACCATTCATTATTCTTGGTTTACGGCAAGTTATTTGAGATTTCACGGAATATGAAACCATGTGTGAGTAAAGTCTACACCACCTCCCCCCTCTCATGTTTTCTGAAAGAACACATACTTGGTGCTCGGATGATCTCTTATCCACTCCCAACAATAGTTATCTGACCAGTAAAATTATTTAAATGTATAGATGTTCTCTGCCTCATCTTACTGACTTTGAATTGTCTGTAGTTTAAAAAAGCTGGAAAACAACCATTCTCTTGCCATTTTGCCATGTGTAACAATGATTAGCGTTTGTGTTGCACTTTCACATGATTTCAATTGCTCTTGCAACTACCCAGCGAGAATATCATTATTTTCATTTTACAAAATGAGGAAAGTGGAACTGACGTTAAACAGATTACTCAGGGTCACAAAACATTACTACTGGAATCTGGGATTTTCTTTTGATTCCAGAGCTTATCTCCTCTACCACATAGTGTTCAAGATGCTTTATTTAAGATGCATTGATAGAATAATTCTGTAAGTGGGAACCAGCAGTTAGCATAATGGCTATGTCGCTGAACTCCCACATAGTTGACCACGGTTCGCATCCCGGACCCGGTGGCTTAAAACTCACGCTGGGCGCGTGTGCGTGCGTGCCCAAGATCCCGAGAGGAGAATGGAGGAGAAGGGATTGCGGCGTGACCCTCCCCCCTGGGAGGGTGATTTCTCGCTTTCTGTCTCTATGTCTCTCTCTGTCTATCTGGCGAAACATCTGAATGAGGGTGATTGGGCACATACAAATCCACTGTTGTACCTCAGTACTAACCTTTGAACATCATGATCCAGGGTAGTCCCCAAGTTATTGCCAAAACTGCCAGTGTCAAATTTCTATAGAAATATGTAATGGCTGGCTTAATTGTTTTAAACATACAGGCTACATGTACAAGGTCAACAGTTTAAAATGCTATATCCAGAAATTAAGGCAAATTGTCCTTTTTATTTGAACTATCTGAATGGGAGGAAAGGCTGCAGCCAAAGATACCCATCTGGGGCTGCTATATGGTGTACACAAGGATTTACAGGATCTGGTTACTGACTGGATATCAAGAGGAGGAAAAGAAGGAGAAGTCTGGGATAACTGGGATTTCTAATTGGGTAGGCAGCAATGTTCTTATCCAACATGCAAGAGCTGGCTTATGGCAGGGAAGATGTTGATGGAGGGGCAGGCATGCATGCTGATGCCAGCATAATAAGGAATACTGTAGCTTAAACAGTTCCTTCACTCCACAGTCACAGTTCAGGATACAAAGATGAGTTCAATCTGATTTCTGCTCTCAGAGCACTGAGAGTGTAGTGGAACACTTTAGCGACATTGGGCATTATCATAACAGAAGTATGAAAAGACTCAGCGCTCCCACACTCCTGTTGCTTGAAGCACATTTCTGCCCTAGGGCTTTTGTATTTTTTCAAAAACACACCCTGTCCCCAATTATCTGCTTGAGTCACTTGGTCACTTTCTTCAATCCTTTGTTCAAACGCTATCTTCTCAGTGAGACCCTCTCTGGCCACTGTATTTAAAGTCTGAAAGCCTGTCTGCCCCTACACCCTCTATCTTAGTCTTATACAATCTAAACGTGTTGTATGTATTCATTTTCCTTACTGTCCTCCCACTGAAATGGAAGTTCTTTGAGGGCATCGTGGGTGTGGAGGTGTTGTCTACTTTGTTCTCTGTTGTATATTTAATATCCAGAGTTGTGGTGAGCTACTAATACATAATAATTTATTTAGGTGTTATATAATTATTATTTTTTATTGACTGGATAAATTTAGGACTATTCTGTGAGAGCATTAAGGATTTGATGCTGAAATGCTGTTAGAAGATTTTAAGTAAATTAATGTCAATACTGAAATTGTTACCCAAAATATATATGAGCAGTGAAAAATAATTCTGTTGATCAGACCACATCTTTCAGCTGCATGGGGATGTGTGACCCCTACCTGAGGCAGAGTGGTACAGAAATTGTTGCTCATAATCAGACATTTCACAGGATCAGTCCTAGGTATTTATCTCGCATGTGCATGCCCAGTAAATATTTATTACATGAACGGATGAATGGAAGACTAGGTAATATTCACATTTACCAGGCATTTTTTAAAAGATTATTTATTGAGAGAGAGAGAAGAAGGGAGAGTCAGTCTCTGAAGAGGGTCTTCGAACTATTGACCACTCCCCAGTCTAAGCTAGACTGAATTATAGGCATGCAGGTGCACCCAGCGCGCTCAAGGAGGTCCCAGACATAAACCCAGGATATGTGGGTCCAAGTTGCATTACCCTGTTATCGCCACCTGACCCCTTCACTGTGTTTTTTATCTGTGCCACTTAAAGAGTGGTACATGCATTGGTGCTGGTCTGCAAACTTATTGGTCTGCAACAAGATAAAGTAATTGAGAATTAGCATTTAGAAGCTTTATGGTAATTTGACATTTTCTTGATATTTTTCACTATGTTTTACAAAAGTTTTAGCTTGGGACAGATTGGGGGGAACTGGTCCTTCACTAGATAGTTTAAGGACAAATTTTTGTGTCATGAAATACTACGGGGTTTCCATCAGTCACATGTATATGTGCTTAAAAGTGTGTGGAAAAACTCCCTTTGAGAAGGTCCTGTTTTATTTGTAGGCACCTTTATAGGGTGACATGAGTCTCTAGGGAAGAACATTTGACAGGTGTCTTTCCTTTACTAATAGAATGCCAAGTGTTTTATTCACTCATTTGATATCCAAAGTATGTAGATTTGTTTTCCTCAGTGGACAAAGTCAAGCCTCACTTTGTCTTGAAATGGTGCAATCTTTTGTGAATTTAGTTTTGTTTCTTAAGAGAGATTTTTGCTGGGGGGTGCGTGTGCTTGCTGGAGAGACAGAGAGAAAGTGAGAAATCACCCCCCAGGGATATGGCCATGGTTCTCCTCCATTCTCCTCTCGGTGTCTTGGGTACACACGCATACACACCTGATGTGAGTTTTAAGCCATCGGGTCTGGGACTAGAACTGCAGTCGACTATGTGAGAGTCCAGCAATATAACCATTACACCATTTGCTGGTTCCTAGTTTTTTCTTTCTTTCTTTCTTCTTTTTTTTTTTAAAGTAAGTAAACATCCCCTCATGGTGGGGGGGGTAAGAGGAGGTACGGAGGGGTAAGGGGGGGATGGCATCACTGCAGTCCCTTCTCTTCCATTCTCCTCTAGGGTTTTTGGGCACATGTACACACATGTCCAGCATGTTTTTCAGCCACTGGGTCTGGGGCTCAAACCATGCAGTTGATCATGTGGGATCCAGCCACCTTAACCACCAGATCACCAACTGGCCTTGATTTTATTTTTCTCTCATCGAGACTTAAAAAAGTTTTCTTAAAACAATTTATTGTATTGAGATATGATTTATATCCAGTGATGTTTATCCATTGTACATATACAACTTAGGGATTTTTAGTTGAATTTGTCAAGTTGGGTAACCATCATTACAGTCAA